GGGTACCTTCTGCTGAATCTTGTTAAAGTAATAGCACATTGGGACATATGATTGAGTTTTTATCCCTTTTCATGTTTTCCGTTTTTTAAAATTTTTTTGTTACTATAAATTCTAATGGGGGATGCAGTGAAGTTTTTAATCTGTTTGCTTTATTTGTAATTTCTGAATTTGCAGGAGATGACAATGATATCATATATCAGAACTTAGTTGCTGAAGATAAAGCAGAGTCAACCGGTGGGAACCTTAGGAAGCTAATCGTATTCTCTGGAAATGATTATTTGGGTTTGAGTTCACATCCAATGGTTAGCTATGCAGCTAGCAAGGCATGTTTCACTTTCTGCAGATTTTTTTCTACAACTCAGCTTGTTATTGGCACACAACTATTGCAATCTACTGAATTTCGCTTGTTTTGGCAGGCAGCTCAGGAACACGGAATGGGTCCAAGAGGTTCTGCGTTGATCTGTGGTTACACTAATTACCACAGGCTACTTGAATCGTCACTCGCCGATCTAAAAAGAAAAGAGGTACCACTTCTATCCTTAAATTTTGATAATTTTGTGTGTACTAGAAATTTTAAAATGCTTGAAATGAATTTTCTCAGCTGTGTTTCTCTTGAGATTGAATAAGGTGCTTGCTCGTATCATCACTACTTGGAGCTATTCAACCATAGAAACGATTGTTTTCATCTGTATAAGAACCACAACATTTACCTCTTTCTTTCAAATAATCCACTTTAACTGCATTTTCTTTGATTCTATCCCCACTATTTTCATTGGAAAGAGCTGTTAAGCCTTTGTGCTTATCTTAAATTGATAAATAAATTATTTTTTCACATTAAATTGGTAGTTAAAATTCAGTTCTTATGATCTGTGTCTACTCGTGCATCAGTACCTTTTACATGGATGTTATGGCATCACTATATTAATAAAACTAATCCAATTCCATTTTTCTAATCTTAAATATTAGGATTGCCTTCTTTGTCCGACAGGCTTTTCAGCCAATATGGCCTTTATGACAGCACTTGGAAATGTTGGTTTTCTGGTTACCGGGGGGAAACCCTTGCAAGATGACAGGGTTGCCATATTTTCTGATGAACTGAACCATGCATCGATAATCGATGGTATTCGACTTGCTGAGAGACAAGGAAATGCTGTGGCATTTGTTTACAAGCACTGTGATATGTCCCATCTGGATGAATTGTTGTAGGCCATTGTTTTCCATTCTTTAAATTTGCCCCCTTTTTTTTTCTTTGTCTCATTTATGCTCTTCTCTATTCAAATGCTGCCTCTGATTGTTTGATAAACAACAGGTCTACTTGCCAGATGAAGAAAAGAGTTGTTGTAACTGATAGGTTAGTCATTTGACTGGACGATCAATTCTAAAAGTTCCCATCCGTATGCATAATTTCAAGTTTTTTGTAGTTCTTATAGTTTTGAGTTCTATTTAGCTGCCATAGTGTTAGTAGTCATAATAGAATTTGATTTCTCTTTTACTTGTAAGAATTAAGAAAATAATATCAATTACTATCACTTAGTTCCCTGCTGGTGCAACAGTATGTGGATGATTATGGTTTCCATGGATACCTTTGACCAAACACTTCATTTGAAGTCGACCAAAACTAGTGTAGTTAGTGGATAATTTTTTTT